GAAGAAGCGACCGTTGGTGAAGACAGTGGTGTTTTGAGATCGAGACATGACTGGATGTTTGAGGTGGGAGGATTTGTGTTGCGGAATGAGGGGTACAGTATCAGATGGGCATGCATGTCGAGTCTTAGATCCGATGCATCGCCGTAGCTGCCCCCACTATTCAACGCCTTATCACCTCGCGCCCTACGCGCCTTACCTTGACATTGACTCTCCCTCCCGATATCGCTTCGAACTTCGAGAAGGACTAGGATCGTTGAGCGCAGCCATGGCGACTACCACAGCGCATGTGCCGGACCAGACGACATACGAGGAAGCCCGAAATGGCGCCGCCGCTTATCTGCAGTCGCGACTCTCGGCGAAAGACCGTATTGCCGACGAGAACTTCGAGATACCCATTATTGATCTGACCCCTTCATTCTCTGCTTCTCTTGAGGCCCGCCAAGCGGTTGCTGCGCAGATTCGTCAAGCCTGCACTACCTCTGGGTTCTTCTACATTAGCAATCATCGCATACCAGAATCAGCTTGTGATGGCATCTTGCATCAGGCTGATCGCTTCATGCATGAGCTGCCGCTGAGCAAGAAAGAGACCTTGCATCTGAAGAACAACAAGTTCGGCTTGGGCTGGGAGCCGAGCGAGTATACATCCATCGCTGGTGACAAGGAGGAGAAGGAAGTCTTCAACTTCGCATACGAAGAGCGCCTGGACTTCTCTGGTGGCGATGGCAAATACAAGAATCTCGACGGATCGACAGAGAAGAGTAACATGTGGCCTGACGAACAAGACTTGCCGGGCTTTTATGAAAACGTTCGTAAATACTATGGTGCTGTGAGTCGAATTCGCCAGAAGTGCTTATCACGTAGTGTGCGAGAAAGCTCACCGTTTCTAGGTCCTTGATCTCGCCCGTCACCTGTTTCGCCTGTTTGCGCTCTCGCTCGATCTCCCTGAAGACTATTTCGACTCCATGACGACGCATCCGGGTAAGTTCTGACTGCACGAAGTGCATGTGACGTGTATTGACTCTGTACCTCTACCTCTGCAGGTGGCATCGCACGACTTCTTTACTACCCTCCTCCCAAAACTCCACCGGTCAACAGTCTTACGCCAACACAGGAAGCTCAAATCGGCCTCGGTGCTCACTCAGATTACGAGTGCTTCACACTACTGCTCGCATCGACTGTACCCGGCCTGGAAATTCTGAAACCCTCCGGCGCATGGTATATCGCTCCGCACATCCCCGGTACCCTCATCGTGAACGTTGCCGACTTCCTCATGCGCTGGACGAATGGATTGTATAAGAGCACGGTGCATCATGTCGTAAACCGAACGGCGGAGGCGAGGTACAGTGTACCATTCTTCTTTTCGGTGAACTATGACACGGTGATTGAGACGTTGCCGACGTGTCTGAGAGAGGGCGAAGAGAGTCCCTACAAGCCGATCCGAGCAGGAGAATACATTCTGGAGAGATTGAACGCGACGATGGCATATGGCGCAGGCTTCCAGCAGAAAGGGGAATGATAGTTGTATTGCGAACGCGATATTCAGCCACGCGACTGTGAGCAAGAGTGTGGTATCGTAGGGAGGCGAAGGACGCGACGCGTCGCGACATGCCGGCTAAATGACATCACTCGCGCTACTGTCGCAAGTTCCAGGGGCTCTCTCAACATCTCGACGTGAACGTATACATCAACACACCAGTACTGCCAACAATGTAGCGGTCTTGACTACTTGACGATGCATAAAAACTTGATTTGCTAATTTTATATGGCAGCATAGTTCAGTTTGATGCACAGCTTAGGTTGGGAATCTAGTTTCGCCCAAGTTCGTCCCGAAATTGCCCATCTTCGTCGCCCAATTCGAGATGGCAATACTAAGCAGAGTGTTTCAACGTTCGTCTGGATGCGTCTTCGGAAGTCTCATGGGAAGATCATCTTACTATGGATTTGGAGTCTTGTGAGACACTACGCGAAGATGCTTCTCCAGGGTCGAGTTCGCGAGGCAGCCAACTCCCGAGCTCAATCCCATGCAGAACCTTGCTCGACCTACCATGTTAACACCTAGATGAACACGGCTTACTACTATCAGGTTGGTAGTCTCTGCGTTGGTGTCTCTCGCGTTTTCGACGAATGAGATGCGTCACTTTCGTGCTGATGCGACCGAGCCATCTTGGTGCTCAGTGGCCGACGCGCACAACGGTAACGGGACAGATACAAAAACCACCAAAACAAGTCCCAGAGAGTTTTAAAACAGTTACCGACGTAAAGACGACTATAGCAATTCCCTATGCCAGCTGCGAAGCGTAGAAAGACCGGTGGTGCGGAGATGAAGGCGAAGAACCAGACCACCGAGCGAAAGCCGCTCCCAGTGACCGTTCTTTCCGGATTTCTGGTAAGTAACAGCTGAGAAACGTGAAGATTGAGACTGACAATAGTAGGGTAGTGGAAAGACAACCTTGCTTCGGCACATCCTACAGTCGCCGGATCATGGGTTGCGCATCGCCGTCATTGTCAACGATATGGCATCAGTCAACGTCGACGCAAACCTCGTTAGCCGTGGCAACACCAAGAACAGTAACGGAGAGATACGTCTCAAGGAAAAGGTCGTGCAGATGGAGAATGGTGAGACAATGACTGTACGAACTCCACGTAAGACATACGCTGACCTTTACTCAGGTTGCATTTGCTGCACATTGCGAAGCGACTTACTTGTTGAACTAGCACGTCTGGCTTGGTCCGAGAACGCATTTGACCATGTTATCATCGAGAGCTCCGGTATCAGTGAGCCACAACAAGTGGCTGAGACTTTCACAACCGAGCTTACCGAGGCAATGATCGACGCCGAGGGACTGGAACCTGAGGAGAAGGAGGTCTTTGCTAAAGTGTGAGTCGAACCTAAGGCGGTGGTACAATACAGTAGCTTACGAATGTTCACAGAGCAAAGATCGGTGGGCTGAAGAGCATTGCGACCGTCGATACGATGGTCACAGTGGTGGATGCGTTCCGCTTCTTTTCCGAGTTCGACACGGCCGAGTTCCTGCAAGACCGCTTCGGGCGCGATGAAGTTCCAGATGAGGACCAGCGAACCATATCCGATCTCTTCGCGGATCAAATCGAGTTTGCCAATGTTATCATCATCAACAAGATCGATAGAGCAGACAAGGCAACCCTGGGGCGCGTCCGAGCATACATCAAGTCACTAAACCCGAAGGCGAAGATCATTGAAGCCAGATACTCCAAGGTGGACGTTCGCGAGATGCTCAATACGGGCGTGTTCAACTTCGGCGAGGCTGTCGCAAGCGTTGGATGGCTTCAGTCATTGCATGAAATGACCGTCATGGACGTCTCAGGAAGAAAGCGTGTCGCACCCAAGCCGGAGACGCTCGAGTAAGTCACTCGGTACCCGAAGCTTGGCTCATGCTGACCTGGATTTAGATATGGCATCGGCTCTTTCGTATATCGCGCTCGCAGACCATTCGACCCAATGAAGCTGTACCGACTTATCCAGGGCAAGTTCATCTTGCTACAGGACGAGGCAGAAGACGTGGCAGATGCCGAAGAGGACGAGGAAGAAGACGAGGAAGACGGTGATGATGGTAACGACAACGGCATCGATGGTTCATCCGAATCTGGAAAGGCCAGCGCGTCTGAAGATGACTCCGACAAGGTCAGCGACGACGACGAAGAAATTCCCCAAATGGATGACAAGGAAATTCTGGCCAACAAGAAGGCTTGCCCCTACTTCGGCGGCCTACACCGAAGCAAAGGTCTCTTCTGGCTCGCCACGCGTCCTAATCAGATGGGCTCTTGGAGCACTGCAGGCGCAATGCTGACACTCGGCTCTGAGATGCCGTGGTTCTGCTGCGTGTCTGAAGAAGACTGGGGCGCCGACGAAGACACGCTGAAGGCTATCAGGAACGACTTTGAGGGGGGTGAGTATCCCATTGATGAATTACTTGTGAAACATGCACTGACTTCGCCTGCCAACATCCAGAGTGGGGTGACCGCAGACAAGAAATAGTAAGACATATCGCTGTACGAAATACATGTGAAACAAACACTGACTTAGTATCCCAATCTCTAGGTATTCATCGGAGAGAAGCTTGACGTCGACGGGTTGACGAAGATGCTTGACGCTTGCCTTTTGACGAAAAAGGAGATGAAGAAGTGGGAGAAGGTCATGCATGACGATTCGTTGGACGATGACGAGAAGGAAGAGACTCTGCAGGAAATGTGGGACGACGGCTACTGGGCCGAGTGGCCGCGGGCGCAGGATGAAGAGGAGAACGACCACGGTCACGATCACTCCCACGACCACGGCCATCATCATCACGGCCACAGGCACTGAGCGATGATATGGACGTTGGTGGTGTTCAGGTGCGGAAAGAGCGAGAAGCGCTAGTCAAGACGTCATCGCGCGACAGCCATCCGACGGATCGGAGGACCACATCAAGGGTCTCTTCTAAGCTTCTTTCCTACATGCAACTGCTACTGGAGCTTTTATTCTATGATGAGACAAATTGATTTGCACCCTGCCAAGTTTTGTGAGAGTTGGCCACGGTGATCAAGCCATCAATTTGCGTGCCGCTACCACAGGCTAGAGCGGTTGCTGCCCAGGTGGTCCCCGCAACGCCTACTTCACGCTGCTGTTGCGCTGATGAACCGGTCTGCCCCAACCAATGTCCGCGTTTCGGAAGAATTACATTGATCTCCTCGCTGTTCTTCAATCCCCCAATCGTTATGTCAACTGGGCAGTTCCCTACAGTGCTTTCCGGAAGCGGTCGCGGAGCCTCCCTCCGCTTCTAGAAAGGCAGTCCTTCCTTTCAATCCTTCTTAGTCAAGAAGCCCATCTTATAAAGATGACCTTTGTCGGCTGGTAATCTTCATTAACACACCCCTCGTCTACATTCAGCATGTCGCTAAGTTCAATGCTAGTCGGATTGGCACTGGCCGGCTCAGGCTTTTCGCTGATGTCGCAAGATGGTCATACAGGCCGCCTACCAGCTATGGGCTGGAGTACATGGAACGAGTACGAATGCGCCATCAACGAGACCGTCATCCTGGAAGTCGCTGAACTTCTCATCTCTCTTGGTTTGAAAGACCTCGGCTACAGTTACGTGAACATAGACGATTGCTGGTCCGACAAATCTAACCAACGCGATAACGTCACAAGAAGGATCCGTCCTGACTATGCCAAGTTTCCGGGTGGCATCAAACATACAGCAGACGAGGTCCATAAGCTCGGATTGAAAGTCGGCATCTACGGTGATGCTGGCGACACAACATGCGGTGGATACGCTGGCTCCCTGGGACACGAGGAAGTAGATGCCAGGACCTTTGCCGATTGGGGCATCGACTGTAAGCTATATTTACTCAAAGCAGCTCTTCATTACTCATACTGGTTAGACCTCAAGTACGATAATTGCGCTGTGCCTGACGAATGGGACGACGAGTACCGATGGTGGCCAGAGAATTGGCTGGGAGGACCCCCGGCCGAAGACCAAAGCGCTGGCGGTGACGGTGAAGCTCGGCCTGTTCCAGCACCTGCAGGCTACGATTGGACGACTTCAAAGAGCTTCACGCGGTACAAGGCCATGAGTGATGCACTCCTAGCGACAAATCGTACGATTGAATACTCGCAATGTGCCTGGGGCCATGCCCACATCGAGCAGTGGGGCAACGATACCGGCCACAGCTGGCGCATGTGGGGAGACATCTACCCAGAGTGGTACGAGAAGCATCAGTATTCTTGGGGCATCATGCCCATCCTCAATCATGCATCCTTTTTCAACAACGATACCAACTTCTGGGGACACGGCGACTGGGATATGCTTGAGGTGGGCAACGGAAACCTTACCCTACAAGAGAGTCGGTCTCACTTCGCCCTCTGGGCTGCTCTGAAGTCGCCTCTAGTCATCGGCACCCCTCTCCACGGTATCGAGCCGGATATCCTAGGGATTCTGAGTAACAAGGAGCTCATCGACTTCAATCAAGACCCGGTCTTTGGTGCTGCAGCCAAACCCTACAAGTGGGGTGTCAACGCCGACTTCACTTGGAATCAATCTCATCCCGCTGAGTATTGGAGTGGGCTGTCTTCCAAGGGTGTGCATGTGTTTGCACTGAACACACTCAATGCGACCCAGACCAAGGCCATCGACTTCGCGGAGGTGCCTGAGTTGGATGCGGAGGCTGAATACACCGTGTTCGACTCATGGACTGGAAGAAACCAGGGAAAGTTCAAAGGACGGTACGAAGCAGTTGTTGAGTCGCATGACACCGCGGTTATCCGACTCGTTGAGACGAGCGATGTTGAGTATGACGCGTCGCACTATCAGCTGTGAGGACAACGCAATGGTTTACACGAATCCGACGCGTCGTGGTTTTGTCGTGTAGTCGCTAGGTGTGGCTCCAATTCGTGTCGCAATCTTCCGTCTTTCTTTCGCGAGGTGGAAGTATACACCGCCTCAAGAGGTACTTGCATGTTGAGTCTTTTGGACGTGTAGGCTACAAAATGCGACACAATTCTAGCCGCGGGATGTAGCTTCAGATACGCGTTACGTCACTCGCGACCAACTCGCGCTTCCCAAGCAACTGAGAAGCGTGCTCCACACCTGGATATCGGACACACGTGCGGGGTAATGCACACCTCGTATTACTACATGTCTTTGGTGCATCGAGACTACATCATGATGCATGTCTTATTTTCCGAGGCTAAATGCGACAGGGTGTTCTACGGATCTTCTCCGGGCCAGGAAGTGTAGGCGAAGCTACTCGGCATGCGAGACCATGCAAGACATCAGGCAATGGGTACAAGATCTGCAAAGCAAAAAGTGTGAACTGAGCGTAGAATGCGGGGATCGCGCGCTATACCCAGAATGGTATTCGCAATAGACAGGCATGTTATCGTCCATCAATGAGAAGCTACATTCGCGCAGGGCTGAAGCGATGATCCTAGGTACATAGTCGTAGTGTTTTCCTGGTGTCCTCATCCCTCACAGCCCACCATCAGGAGCTCAGGACTCACAGGAGCAGGAATTAGTCCAGATGCTAACTCTAGCGACCTTGACAGTCGCTTCAGGGCTCACTTCCCTGGTAGCAGCAAGCGATGCACGCCTTTGGTACACAGCGCCCGCCGCTTCCGATGCCTGGACAGATGCACTCCCAATAGGAAACGGGCGCCTCGGTGCCATGGTATTCGGAATACCCGTACAAGAGCGCATACAGCTCAACGAAGAGACCATCTGGTCTGGTGGCCCTCGAGATCGCGTAAACCAAAACGCGTCCCAGACACTTTCGGATGTAAGAGACTTGCTCGCACGAGATCAGGCAGGCGATGCAGAAAAGCTGGCGAATCTGGGTATGATGGGCACGCCCCAAAGCGTTAGGAATTACCAACCGCTGGGAGAAATGGAAGTCTATTTCGATGGTACTAGCGACTACGACAATGCGACTTACGAACGATGGCTTGATCTGGAAAGCGCAATTGCAGGCGTCAAGTTCAGTGTCAACGAGACGTTATACGAGCGCGAGATGTTCGTGTCAACCCCAGACGACGTACTTGTACAACACTTACAAGTCACCGGACCTGAGAAACTCTCATTCCAAATACGTGTACACAGACCACAGGACGGATTGAACGAGGCGTCAGATCAGGACTGGAACGCGAACGGAGTTGCGTACATGACTGGGGGAACCGGCGGTGTTGATCCCATTATCTTCACATCCGCTTTGGCAGTCAATACCGATGGCAACATGAAGACGCTCGGCGAATTCATCGTCGTCGATAATGCTACGGAAGCAACGGCTTACTTTGCGGCTTCCACTTCTTACCGAACCAACGACACGCGCATGGCTGTGGATAGCACTATTCAGCGAGCCCGTCAATACACATATGCCGAGCTTCGACAGCGCCACATCGAAGATTATGCACCATTGTATAATGCCAGCGTCCTGAAGTTCACCGGATCGGACGCGAACGCTAGTAGCCTTCCAACAGACGCGCGCATCAACGCAACACGCGAAGGAGCGGACGACCCAGGGCTAACCGCGCTGGCATACAACTATGGCCGCTACATGTTGATCGCATCGTCGCGTATTGGCAATCTACCGTCCAATCTCCAAGGTATCTGGAACAAAGAATTCATGCCGCAATGGGGGTCGAAGTATACTGTCAACATCAACCTCCAGATGAACTATTGGCCCGCGGAAGTCACCAGTCTGTCGAGCTTGCACACACCTCTGTTTGATCATCTGGATCTTATGCGAAAGGACGGCATGCACACTTCCAAGAAAATGTACAATGCCTCCGGATGGATGTCTCACCACAACACCGATCTTTGGGGGGATACTGCGCCTGTGGATCGCTATCTTCCCGCGACGTACTGGACATTGTCATCTGGCTGGCTTGTTACCCATATACTCGAGCATTATTGGTACACAGGCGATAAAGACTTCTTAGCCTCGAGGCTTGATACCGTCTCCGGTGCTATTGAGTTTTACCTCGATACTCTACAGCCATATAGCATCAATGGGACGGAATATCTCGTCACCAATCCCTCTGTGTCCCCGGAGAACAGTTACATTGCCGCAGACGGAAAGACGTACTATTTCGACATCGCGCCAACATGCGACATCGAGATCCTCAACGAGCTCTTCACAAACTACCTCCGGGCGGTCTCCACTCTCAACAACGGCACCGTCGACTCAGCGTTCCTGCAACGAGTCCGAGACACCCAAGCAAAACTACCGCCATACCGGTACTCAACACGCTATCCAGGCACGCTGCAGGAGTGGATGCAGGATTACGAGCAAGCAGAACCAGGCCATCGCCACGTGAGCCACCTATACGCACTCTATCCAGGCACGCAGATCTTCCCACCAGGTGCGCCAGGCTACGACGCCAAGCTCTTCAACGCCGCGAGTGCTACGCTCGAAGACAGACTCTCTCACAACGGCGCTGGGACAGGATGGTCGCGCGCATGGACGATCAACTGGTATGCGCGCTTGCAGAACCAGACGGCGCTGGCTGAGAACGTTTATCAGTTCTTCAACACCAGTGTGTATAACAACGTGATGGATGTTAATGAGGGCGTGTTCCAGATCGACGGTAATCTAGGCTTCGTGAGTGGTGTGGCGGAAGCGCTACTTCAATCGCACATCGTGGGTGGAGAGGGTGTGCGGGAGGTATGGCTCCTACCCGTGTTACCTGAGCAATGGAGTTCGGGTAGTGTGTCTGGGCTTGTTGCTAGAGGCGGCTTTGTATTCGATTTGGAGTGGGTAGATGGCAGAATTAGCAGGATGAAGATGATGAGTCGGGTTGGTGGTAGTGTGGTGGTCAAGTATGATGCTGGGTCGGGAAACAGCACGGTAGCTGGAGATGTTGCTACGGCTAGCTCTGGGGCGGTTCAAGGAGTACCTGGTGGTAAGATGAGGTTGGATACGAAGGCGGACCAGATTATGGACTTTGAGTTCATATGGTGAGCCTCGTGCTCGTATGTGGTAGAATCGCCCAGCTAGGAACGATAATTAAGACGAATGATCTTCTCCATCTAGGAACGTATGCTTCAGTCTTGAGAAATTGAACGATGCACACTTCGAATGGCGGATGAAGACGCGACAAAATCCTTGCGGTCGCCGAGAAGTGCGGATAGCATTGGATGTGCGTCAAGAGCGTGATACAGGTGGTTTGTAAAGCCATCTTTCGGCTTGCAACTCAATGGTCATAAGTGATGTCGTGTTCTCCTGGCTCTCGCAGTCAGGACGCGTTGAACGTTGAAGAAAGGTTGAAGGGTCCTCGAGGGGTGCGCTAGGCCAAAGACAGGTGTAAAATGGAAAGCGCGCGGGCCTAGCGCGAAATCGCGAGGAAAGCGCGTCTGGTCCTTGTCCCCCTAGCGACAGCGTGTGTTTGCCCCTCTACAACCACCATTACGACTGACGATACGCACGATACACATAATGGCGGACAGACAGACTCCTTTCTCAATCAGCCTCTTCGGCAGCCAAGCCGGCGATGGGCCCGGGGATGCAGCTGCGCCCTCGCGCGTGCATCAAGCGCTTGTCGACTTTATTATGGACTTTACCCTCGACAACATCTTTGTCTACAGGTATGACAGGCAGTCGCACGTGCCATATGCGGTCGTCTAACCGTTCGCAGAGATCAAATCCGCGAGAATGTTCTCTTGAAGCAATACTACTGCGACATTGACGTCGCGCATCTGATCAGCTATAGCCCAGAGCTTGCACACGATCTTAGGCAGAACCCGGCAGAGATTATACCTCTCGTACGTTGTACAGTCTCAAATCGCATGCGCATGCTAATGCCTCCCAGTTCGAGTCGGCATTGAAGACGTGCACACAACGCATCGTCTACCCCTCACAAAAGAACATCCAGCTCCCCGAACACCAGCTGCTCCTCCATTCGAACGCCTCAGAACTCTCAATCCGCGACTTGACCGCGACCAACGTCTCGCAACTCGTCCGTATACCCGGTATCATCATCGGCGCATCTACACTCTCGTCCAAATCCACCGCACTCGCTATACGATGCAGGAATTGCCAGCACGAAGAGATTCTGCCCGTGTCGGGTGGTTTCTCTGGTGTTTCCCTCCCGAGAACATGTGGCAGAAAGAAGGGAGAGGGTGAGCAGGGAGAACAATGCCCGCTGGACCCTTACTATGTCATGCACGAGCGCTGTCAGTTCATTGACCAGCAGGTGCTCAAGCTGCAAGAAGCGCCCGATCAGGTTCCGGTCGGTGAACTACCACGACACATCATGATCTCCGCAGACCGCTATCTGGCGAATCGCGTCGTTCCAGGTACACGGTGTTCAGTAATGGGTGTCTTCTCTATCTACCAGCAGAAGGGCTCGAGGCGTGCAGGCAACGCCGCAGTAGCCATTCGCAACCCATACATACGCGCTGTCGGCATACACGCCGAGGTGGACCACGGCAGCAAAGGCAACGCCGTCTTCACCGAGGAGGAGGAACAAGAATTCTTGGAGATGAGCAGGAGGCCCGACATCTACGAAGTCTTCGCGCGTTGCATCGCACCCTCTATCTACGGAAACCAGGACATCAAGAAGGCTATCGCTTGCTTACTGATGGGTGGCGCAAAGAAGATCCTGCCGGACGGGATGAAGCTTCGTGGTGACATTAACGTACTCCTCTTGGGTGACCCCGGTACCGCCAAATCGCAACTACTGAAGTTCGTCGAGAAAGTATCGCCGATCGCTATCTATACCTCTGGAAAGGGATCCTCCGCAGCCGGTTTGACAGCATCTGTGCAGCGCGATCACAACACAAGAGAGTTCTACCTCGAAGGTGGTGCCATGGTCCTGGCCGATGGTGGAGTGGTGTGCATTGACGAGTTTGACAAGATGCGTGACGAGGACCGAGTAGCCATCCACGAAGCCATGGAGCAACAAACCATTTCCATCGCCAAAGCGGGTATTACCACAATTCTCAACTCGCGAACATCTGTACTCGCAGCTGCCAACCCCATCTTCGGTCGTTACGACGACATGAAGACACCCGGCGAGAACATCGACTTCCAGACCACCATTCTGTCGCGTTTCGACATGATCTTCATTGTGCGCGACGAACACGACCGCGGCCGTGACGAGCGAATAGCAAAGCACGTCATGGGTATCGCAATGGGTGGCCGAGGTGTCGAAGAGACCGTACAAGCCGAGATTCCGATCGAGAAGATGAAGCGCTACATCACATACTGTCGCCAAAAGTGCGCGCCGCGTCTTTCGCCTGAGGCCGCGGAGAAGCTGTCCAGTCACTTCGTCAGCATCAGGCGGCAAGTGCACGCTTCGGAGATCAACGCAAACCAAAGATCCAGTATCCCGATTACTGTCCGTCAATTAGAAGCCATCATCCGTATCACCGAGTCTTTGGCCAAGTTATCGCTGTCGCCTATCGCAGATGAGTCGCACGTCGATGAGGCCATTCGTCTCTTCCTCGCGTCTACGATGGATGCGGTGAACCAGGGCGAGGGCCAGAGCTCAAAGGAACTCATGGACGAAGTCAACAAAGTCGAAGAGGAACTACGAAGACGTATGCCCATTGGCTGGCAAGTCAACCTGTCGACGCTCAAGCGTGAGATGGTGGATGGCAAGGGTTACTCGGAACAGGCGCTTGCTCGCGCACTTCACGTAATGAACGCTCGCGAGACGATCAGATGGAGACATGGAGGTAGTGTGGTGTTCAGGGCAAGCGCATAAGCTATGCACTGGATTTGGATGGTCATAACGGCGTCTAGCGTTGATGGTGTTTGCAAATGCGCCGCGGGTGTTTTGAGCGTGGTTTTGGGCAGGCAGGCAGGCCGATGCTGCTTCGTGATGAGATACACTGAAACGTTCACGACGGAGAGCTGTATCGCGGCGTCTTCTTAGCAATGTAATGCTGGATTTAATCCCCATAAGAATTGTTCTTTCTCGCTTCCTGCTGTGTTTGATAGTGTTAATGTTGTAATACGCTCTTATGCCGGTGTGCAGCGGCCCTCCTGCACAACGAGAGTCCGTAGACACCAAGATTGCCACCCGCACCTTTCCAACTCCTGCCATCTCTCTTCCTCAGCTAAATAAAACGACGGAGAACAGCTCCGCGCCATTACGCAGCCCGCCGTCGGTCACTGATCAAGACTCATGTACATTCTGCCTAGGCAGCCCAGCGCACCGCCCCACCCAGACAAACCGCGTCCTCCAAAGCTCTTCGCCCCATCATGTGACCCGTCCTCCACAATGGCCAATGACTGTGCTCTGGCTCACAAAGACGATATGGTCGATGCTTTCATAGCCCGGTCCGTTTGCTCAAGAACCAGGGTCTTGTAGGGCTGCAGCGGGCGCTAGCGGGATCTAAGATTTCAAGGTGAATGCTACCAAGGTATCAAGGTAGTCGGTCCTGCGCGAACTAGGATCAATTCTAGCGCCGCGAGTTTCATAGGCATTGAGTGAGTGCATATATCTAGCAAGTACGCTACTAGAAAAGGAGATTCTTCCATGGGACGGTCTGATCGGTACTATGGGTGCGGCGCTCTGAAAGCTCCGACTGAAATGTATGGTGCTCGAGGTTCTTGGAGATGCAGCGGGTCCACAGATCAGTATTAGTGTTTGTCTTGCGACCAGGTAAATTCGCTTTGAGAAAGGCTCGTTGATCATCCGGCTTAGAGACTGGAGGAAGTGGCAGCCTTGGGTGTCGTCGTTTTGTGGTAGTGATGGGATTGACTGGTCACTGCGATTTGGTGAATATGATTTCGATGACTCCGAAACTAATAGATGACATTCAAATGTGCTAATCGATAAATACTTACATGATGCCAGTTTCCCATTGATGTAGCTAGAGATGGGCACGCACAGTGTCAGGCGGGTACTTGCGGCAGTGACGGACAGGCCTCTCATGGGCACCGGGCGCCCATTCCACATCAACAAAATTATGACGTCGGAACGCTAATAGTATTGGAAGCCAGCGGCGGAGCAATGTCTGCTTTTGCAATTGACGTAGGGGTAAGGTTCGTTCAGCTATGGCTGGTTAAATGGGGGCGCGCGTCGGCCCGCGCCGTACCAATGTGAACACACTTCGGAGGCGCGCCAATATGACCCTCTCACGGGCAAGGACGTGGGTCTCAGGATCAGCCTGGACGTGTCTGCTAAGAACAACCTCAATTCAGATTCACGCTAGCTCACTTTCCGACTTCTTTTGAACGCGGTGATTGCAACGGCATCTTCGATAAAGTACATGTGGATCTCAAACTGCTCAGCCCTTTTCGCATTGACCATCGTCTCCAGGTCTACGGAGTCGTAGAGACGGCGAGAGCGCCGTCCTCCAAGTACTAGTTGGGTCGTCATTACCGAATTGAAAGACGAAGTTGCTGATTGGAGCTTTGGGTGCATGACCGATGGACCCTGGATCTCCTGTGACTCGCTCCTTCTCTGCAAAGACACGGGCCTGCAGGGTTATCCAATGGTTCTTGCCAGGGCGTAGAGCGCGAAGTGGATCTGTAAAAGCTGTAGCCAGTAACTCATAACCAGTTCCTCAGAGCAAGACTGTGCCTATCGTCTCGCGTGCTCTCAGTGCGGCCCACCGTGCCAGAATACTTGCGGATTTACAGGGGTTGTCTTTTGCATCCGCCGCTGTGACGTCTTCCCTGGATGCGTCTCGAAAGAGATTTTTCAACATTTGATTGTGTTGCTGTCTGAACTCATAGCCATGCGTTCATGTGATTTGAGTGCGTTGTAATGATAGTTTTTGAATAGCCCAGACTAAACTTGAACATGTCTGGAGACTACACCAAGATGAATACATGCAAGGCAGCTGCCCTGACGGCCATGTAAGCTCCAGATGTTCAGGTTTTCCTAGGGAGGACTGGCAAATATGCTCAAATGCTTGGATTGGGGGCTGGGCCATGCCGTGGTAGACTGCACTGCACCTGCCCTGGTTCAGTCATATTTGTGAGGCATTAATTCGAGAGGAAACCACGTGCGACCCGTGATTCATGATAGTAGCGACTTACTCTGGGTGACTGGTAATTGGGAAGCAACGAATGCTACCTAGGTAAGAGAGACAGATGCCTTATAAAGACCGACTGCCCATCTCTTTCATTCTTGTTCGCTAACATTTTTAACATCTCCGGACTGAACGCCCACCATGAAGGGCGAAACCCCCCGTCGAAAAAACTGGTATCACGAGCGTTTCCCGTATGCTAGCTATTTCATGGATCCATACGGGCTCCAAATGTCGCCGCCTGACTACAGGCACAACTATGTCCACCCTAGCGCCGTCGGTAAGTTGATCCGTTCCGCTCCGAGCTCGGCTTTGCTCGGGATAAGACGCCCGCTGATCTGATAACTCAGGATCTCCATCTGATAACCAGATCCCGTACGCACCCTACGCTCCACCGCGCAACATGGCCTCGTTGAACTGCGCTGCCACACCTGGATCGGATTTCAGTCCTGCGCCATCGCCTGCTGAGTCTTCAGGAAGCACCTTCTGTTCTGCTGCCGACTTCGAACAAGACCGCCGCAGCTCCATTCGACGTAAGTAACGTGATTTCTTTTCCCGCGTGTCCCGCGTACCAGCAGTTCGCCGCGGCTGTTGGCTACCAGACTTGTCCAACCGCGTGATCGACCCTTGCCCACTTCAACAACTGACACCGACCCAGAACTCGTACCACGGTCCCCACCACGCCCTCACGTCGCCGCCACGTTGTCCGTCAACACGCACGCCAAAGGCCCCTCGCAGTCGGGCGGGGGGCCTACGAGCATGATACATTCCATCCCGCCTCGACCCAAGCCTGGCCGTAAGCCTGCCACCGCGGAGCCCGAGACCAAGCGCAAGGCCCAGAACCGCATCTCGCAGCGCAACTTCCGTGAGCGCAAGCAGAAGAACGTGCAGATGCTCCTCGAACAGGTCAATAAGACCGGCACAGAATTCAACGATGCCCGCAACCAATGGCTACGGGAAAAACAGCTTCTGGAAGATCGAGCACGGGCTCAAGCACAAGAAATCCAGATTCTGCAAGAGCGTTTACGCACAAGTGACGCCCAAGCTATCATGTGGAGGGACATGTACACGAAAGCGAAAGCAGGCGAAGACGTTTCCACGCCAAATTGCGAGGACTTTGCTCGCATGGCGAGTCCCGACCTCGTTCATTTCCGTGGCGCACGCCACGACGCACCGTTCGAGAACACGCAATCAGGATGCGATCGCTGCACGCCTGAACATTGCGCCTGTCTCGCCGACCTCACCAATGATATGCAACTCCCGGACGAGGCCTCGGCTCGCATGGACGGCATGTCCATGACTGGAATACTTCGCGGCGGCCAAGGAGAACTCGACCAGGAGAAGCATCCACACGTCGAGTTCGAAGTCGACTTCACAAACAAGTTCAAGAGCGCATCTACGTTCGCACCATCGACGGAGGACAACAAGATCACAGACTGTGGCTTCTGTGAGGGACAAAAGGACATTTGCATATGCGATCCTCCTGCTCGTGTTGACAGCGCCGACGAGGGCATTTCGCTCACGCGCATGAAGAGTGGTTCTTCAGCTGAAGAAGCGAAGCCCAACATGGCCATGACCGGGCCTGGCTCTTGTGCCGACTGTCAGTCAAACCCCCAGCAGCGAGCCTGGTGCCAGCGAGTCGCTCAGCTCCGGAGCGAGGAAACCCCTTCGAGCTCACGGCGGAATTCAAGCAAGAGCAGCTCGCTCGACATTATGGAGCCCAAGGCATCGACCAGCATAGACATGAGCGCTGGCATTTCGTCGCCCGTGGGTACCGGAAGGACAGTCGGTTGCAGCGATGCCTTCAAGCTACTTGATGGTCGAGTTTCGACGGACCCGAATGCCATGGACTGGCGCCAACTAAAGCCCGTTCCGCAGGCTTTCGGACGCCAGGACACTCGCAGGGACACATTCACTATGGAACCCGGCATGTACAGCGCGATGGAGCTGGACGCCAGCAGCATCCTCACTACCCTCCAACATGCCCAGCGTCCTCTCAGGCCCCGTCCGTCTGACGGCCCACATGCGCCGCTGATCGAAGAGGCCGAGGAACGGCGCCGAGCTTCTTTCTCGCCCATGACCAAGGCCGAGGATCACGCGATGATGGACGCAGTCTCTCATTACAATATGGGCCACTAGTCGCGCCCTCCTGTCTTCTCTTTGCCAGATACCCCACCTTTAGCGGTTCCGCCAGCAATCTGCGGCGTTGACATGCAAGAGTGTCTGCATCCTGTTTCGCATGGTCGTTCATCCGTAGCGAGAACACAACTTGAGGGTTTTGACGGTCGCTATGAATAACGACGAGTGGACGGTTACACACTCTTCACTTTCTTGCATTCTGTATCATATCGCATGGCTACAGCAGCCCGGAATTAGACTAATGACTACACGTTCCAACGAACCCAAGTACGGGTCAAATGATATCCTTTTCAATTCACACATTTGCTTGCATGTGATGACCCTCAGATCTCTGCTCTCCTTGAATGAGTTTTTCTGGATTACACCGAATCCACGTCCGCCCCGTGCCCAGCTCCGCAGCTTGGCTCGTCAATTTCCGGGCCTTGGGGCGAAATCACACCACCGCTGAACCTAAGCTTCCGTCCTCCGAAGACAGACCGCCATTTCTGCGCTCCAAAGCAGCCAGTCGGGATCAGTATGTCTACGCGTACAACATTAAGTTTACATGAACGATATAGGCTGGAGATGGTTCGGAGCTGATCTTGCGCTGTGAGTGGTCGATGGGGTGTCCGGTGTCGCATCTTATCTGATGATCTGATAAAACTCTGCAGCGCTAAACCCCAAGATGTGAAGAGGGGTAAGGGACCCGACATGCGGGGAGAAGTCTTACCCGCATTCTGCGCTCGCTTCTATGCAACATTACGATGGTTGCAAAGGATCCAGGAAATTTTGGAATGAGGATGATGTTACACTGGTCTACAATGAGTGGTGTCACTGCTCTCTGATTCTCCTGCCGCACCACACAGCTCGGTGCGCGCCATCGCGCCTGACTGATGTTCAATCCCACGCCTTCCATATGCACATGCCGTGGCTCCATTCTCTCCTCTCTTCCTCCGCGTTTCTCACGCAGCACTACAACTACTTCTTAATCCCATTAATCATGATCTCGTTTCCTTGGCCAGCCCATTGACCATGCGGCCCAGCTCTCACAGCGACCTGCGCATGTTGTCAGTATCAATTGTCTTCTGATGCTGAAACCCCGTTTCTAGCGCATGCATACCTGTACATCGACGCCCCATCGTTGCGCATTGGCCAAAGCTACATTCGCGGCTTCTTGCTCGAGAGCTGTGGCGGCTGTGGCTAGCTTGCCGCCGATGGCGCAGAGTTCCCCGCCTAGTTTGTTGAGGTCGGCGGCGAGCTTGAGGAGGTTGTCGGGGGTGTTGTGTGACATCCTCTGTGACTTGTATTTGATGATCTGGTGTGGCAGGGTGCGGAGTGAGTGATGCTTAGGCGCTGGGTATATGTAAAGCCTTGTCACGCAAGAAGGGTGATAGAGTGATGGTAGTTGTCGATGACAATTATGGCAAGAGGATATATGCGTACTTGGCGATATGGAAGAGTGAAGGTGTTTGCATAGCTGAACGGCACACTGATCAATACGCGAGCATTCCAGTATGGAGCGAACGCTACTCGGCCAGCGATGCTATACTTGAAGTACGTTCAAACATCATAACATCACCCACAAGTATGTCGATCAGTACAGCGGAGCGTAGGAGAGTTTGTGTGATCAATCATCCAGTCTTCACAATGTGTCTAGCTTCTGCCGCCTTCGTGTCGGTGTTAGCGCACGACTTCGAAATGGTATATGAGTCTTTAATACGACATGATAACCCGCTGCAACATCAGAGCAGTACCCTCGATTCTTTTCCCAACCCAGTCTGTCCAACAACATCCATCTGCACACAATGTCCTCTTCAAGCCACCCAGTCGCACCCACCACTGCACAACGCGATGCAGACTATCATTACAGTCAGCAACTCACGAAGCTGCAGGACGAGATTATGGATCTCAACAAGATCATCGAGAACACTGCTGCAGATCACCGCCGTGAGGCACTCCTGCTATATCCCTCATCCTTGCTAAAACACAATAGGCGAGGTCTCGGTACAAGCCCGCGCAATGACCTGTCTCAACATGAAGATACTGTGGCTCACGTACAAACTCGACCCAATTCTCAAGGTGGACAAGGTCACGGCGGAGAGGATGAAGAGGCTTTTCCCAGAGGTTGCGGAGTACTTCACTCTTGACTGAGTGGCGTACTAAGAGAGATGTGGGTATGAGAGCACCAGCGTGTCAGGGTGACATGACTAGCATTGTGAATACAAGGGCGCAGGAAACGTAGTTAAGCATCCATATCAATATCATCTTCCTAGCCTAGGGTCTTGCTTCAACAGTGCAAGACGCGCAAGTCTCCTCCGCTCTGGCGCACTGATTGGGACAGGTTTCTTCTCGTCCACTTGCCCTGCTTGGCCCACTTTCTCCGGTGAAGCTTCATCTTCTCTTCCTGCCCCCTTCAACTTCGATTCCACTCTCCGCTGCACATCGCGCATGAACAGCCCTTGATCGACCTCTTCATCTTGGCTTTGCGTTGCCAGGTCTCGCACCTCCTTGTCAGGTCTCATCTTTGTTTCTCGTATAATCTCTGCTTTGCGTTCTTTGAGTGCGGATTCGCGTCTTTGTAGCGCTTCGCGCGTCAGTTGGCAGTTTGCAAGTTCGGCTTCGATGATGAGGAATTCGGCGTCTGGTGTGAGGGCTGCGGGAGTAAATTTCTGTCGCTCTTGAGGTAAGTCGGTGGGTGCAGACGGTGACGGTAGTGGGTTATTGACTTCTGTTGGTGATCTCGGAAACGTCAATGTGGCTACAAGGGGACCGCTGGTGTTCTCTTCGGGTCGTAAGGCCATATTTCGGTGTCCGGGTAGAGTCTCCAGAATACCGTTTTTCGCTTTTTGCTCGGCGTCGGCTAGGGCTTGTGACATGACGGGATGAAGGAGAGTTGCTAGGGGAAAAGTCATGACTTTGACGTCTTGGGGATAGCGGCAGGCGTTGGAGGAGCGAGACGTGTCGACAAACTAAAGCAGCTTCCCGGTGTTTGCTGTAATCGTTGATGGCGGTCAACGCCAGGGTCCGCGAAATGGAAAGTACAGTGTCACAAGGGAATAGTGTGCAGCGTTTGATAGAGTTGACATTTTAGACATTGTTGCTGGAACGTGATGTCGCGCATCCATGTGAACCATCCAGCGAGAACACACAATACAGCTTCAAGCCTTCGACTCTTCTCGCATCCTCGTCAACGTGTCCAAAACTATTTGCTTCTTAGAGCCGGCCTTGAGCGACTTTATCAGAACATCCTGCTCGCTCTCAGGTGCCATGCCAGCCGTCTCAGGTACCCTTCTATCAAGATTGGTCGGGAAAGGGTATCCTTCAGCAACAACGCTAACGAGTGCTTTGAGCTCATCGCTTAATCCATGCTGTTTATACATTGACAACAGCCCCTCCCAGGTCTTCTCAACAAGTGCGTGCGTGTCGATAGATTCCATCGGCTTACCAAAGGCTGATGAGATCTGAAGCAGATTGGCAGAACGCATGACATCGGCGGAGTCATTCTGCCCTGCGGCATGAAACAGCGCTGGATTGAAGAAGAGACCATCCCCCATCTCCAGTGGTACGGATACATACTTCTCAAGGAAGTAATCTTGGAATTCAGGGAGGCGGTATGCCATGTATCCTTCTTCAAACTTCTGGCTGAACGGCAGCAATCGCGTCGGCCCGCTCTCCACTGGCATGTCGGAGTGTGCGACAGCTCCTTGCAGCGTGAGAAACTGTGACGCGACTTGCATCGCCTTCGGAAATTTTGCGCAAGACTCGTTGTCCTGGAAGCCAATGTGGTAGTCTCTGTGCGAAATCTGGGCCTTCGCGCCTGGCTTCACGATGTTGACTTGTGCTGTGAGGCGGTGGTGCGGGCCGAGCCAGGCTTCAGATATCAGAGGAAGCCATGGATTTGCGTAGTACTGCACGAATGACTCCGGGTCTCTTTCGCAGTGTTTCGAAACGGAGTTCCAGATGCGATCGTTTGCGCCGGCTCCAGCAAAGTGGTCGCCGCGTTTGCCCGCCACTTTCTTCTCTTCTGCAATGATGTTTGCATACACGTTGTTTACGTTTTGAAGAAGAGACACGTCTTTGCAGAGACCTTTGGTGACGAACACGCCTGGTCCGGAAAGCAGGATGTGGTAAAACTCATCCTGTAATGCTGAACGTTGTCCTGAGGAGACCGAAGCATAGTCGGGCAGATCATATATCGGCACATTCGCTTCGATCCTGCTTGCTAGTGGGTAGTGGCAGGGAACAGACTCCGTTGTAAGTTTTTTGAAGTCGTCCAGTGATGGTGGTTGCTTGACGGAGAATAGCCGAGGTCCGATTGGTGGCTGGTGACCATTGGTGTGGCCGTTTGCGGAATGCATTTTAGATGTCAAAATGCATCAGATATGTTACGTATGGCATCGCCCTCAATGCTATATAATCGCGTCGGCTACATAGGTGATAGGTAAGCTTGTAGTTTGATGTACCAGACCGGCAATTCTGCCCGCTTGCGGTGGTTGTTCCTTCTTTGGGAAGCGGAGAAGGCGGCGGCCCCACTTACGATTACAAACACCTTGCGCAACCCATCCTGTCCTCCAGTACCACCTGTCGTTCGACCACAGTTACAATGATCTTTCGCGATTTACTTTCCAGATGGGAATAAGAACAGTGGGTAGAAACACTAGTTATCGCAATCTGGTTGCAGGCACGGCTCTCGTGCTTCTCTTCTGACTCCTCGACTTTACCACGGCCCAGCGGCACCTTAGTATCAGTAATCATCACAGCCTCTGATCCTTCGCGGCGAAGCCAAGCCCAACGCCAGAGCTTAATGAGACCGCAACCCTAGGTTTCGCCTTCGAGCATCGCGGAAGACCTATATTTTCCAGAATACATGTACCACATTCAGGCTCCGTGGCGAGTTCCGAGACAACCTGTTCACGCACATGCAGGCTGATTGGGACGATTGCAGACGATGAAAATGCTAAAATATCAAGAAGAGTGTATTAGGTACTTCTCCCTAGAGCTCCATCGATGAGTTCAAGCCTTGCGTCAAAATTGAGATGGCACACAATCCCGCCTTCCGCGGTACGGTAGACTCCAACGTGCAGAGCATTGCAGACAGCACAGTCAATACCATAAGCTTCTCTACTTCTCATCCTCTACTTCCTCGACGTCCCAGTCGCCATACACGACTCCGGGTCGTCCGTTTCGAACGCCAGCGTGTCTTGGTAAACCTCCACCGGATCCAGCGTCGCGAGGCCCGTCGGAATCCGAAGTATTCTCCGGGGACTCAGTTCGCGGATGATTTCGAGGATCGGGTCCCGGCCCGCCCATACCTCCTGGAAAAAACATCGGACCCCGCGGGAAAGGCATGCCGCCCGGTGGCATCGGGCCTCCAGCACCACCACCAGCCATGCGCATTTGCTCTGCCATCATCTGTTGTCGATATGCGGCCATCATCATCTGTTCTTGTTGCGCCTCCATCATTTGCTCGCGCTGAGCCCTCATCATCATCGCTCTCATGCGCTGCTGTTGCGCCATTTGCTGGCGTTGTTCTGGCGTCATGCCTTGCATTTGCGCTTCTTGTAACTGCGCTCTCATCTGCATTTCTAGCTGCATCTGTCGCATCATCATGACTATCCTGGGGTCCATGATTGACGCCGGTGTTCAGGCTCCTGACGTGCTGAGATGTAGTCTAGAGAACGAGTGAGGTGTCCGGCAGTACCAAGGCTTTTCCGTGGGCTTTGGGAATTTCGGTCGTATCGAGCCTGGTGTATAATGATTTGCAGAGATATGTTAAAAGGGTCTGTGCCTCTGGCCGAGAGAGATCGCTTTCGCCACACATCAATATTTATGTCAGTGAATAGATGAAGTGAAGACTTCGTCATTGAATCGCACCCACCAACAACATGATCCGAGAGAGTTTGTGGAGAATAGCTGAGCAATCACGTTGCGCTCGTTTGCGGCGTACGTTCAACGCGATTGGAATGTTCAATAATCGTCACGATTTAAGCTTTGGGTTTATCAAACTCTACTTCATGCTATCTAGCCAGCTACCAGTACGGGCTCAGTTGACAAAGCAATAGCATACATCAATCGCCGTCTCGCCTAAACGACGCCTTCATAATCTCCACCTCCTGTAATACTTCCGCGGCTTCATGGGGCTCTAGATAGTCTAACGTCCTGTACGCAGACTCAAGCATAAGTATCGATTGCTTACTCAGCCTGTCGTGAGTCTGTAGCGTGTTGTCGATTTGCTCCATAGTCGCCACGGCCTCCTCATACCACTGCATCCAGGTCCAATGCTCTACCCACTTATGCTTGTTCTCCACCGGGACCTTGGTCCTGGCTTCATTCAAAGCCGCCTTCATAACTTCGAGTAGCTTGGTGCTATGCAGGCAGACCGATGGTAATTTTTCGGTAGTCAACTTGCCGTTGAGGTGTTTCTCAGAGAAGGCGTCGATCTGTTTGGAGAGGGCTTCGCAGGCCTTGAAGGCGTCAGGGACCTGGAGCTCAGTTTCTTTTAATTCGTTTTGGTGTGCCATTTTGTTCGTTGGTGAGTAACAAGGTAGTTGGGATGCTTTGTGGTGCAGTGAAACTCTCGAAGAAGAGGTGTTGGTTGCGAAGGAGCATGTGGCGAAGACAGTGAAGTTCAGCCAAAATATGGGTGTTTTGCTGTGAGGTGAACGTATAATTGCGCCTCGGAGGACTTGCGACTTGGACAATTCTGACATTGTCATTCAACAGATGGTACAGTGATGTAGCCCCCATCGTTTGCTGCTGCCGCCTATTTACTTGCGGATAGATCCACTGTATAATAACAGTGCCCCGGACGGTCATCTGACTATCCTCGAGTGGAAATCTCTGGGTGAACCTTCGGCTCATATCATCGAGAGCGGTATGAACATGAGGGATATGAAGCAAGTCCAAGGCTTCACGGAACGCGCCACGGACGAAGCAGTAGAGACTGGTTTCGCAGAACGTGAAATATGCAGACGCAGCTTCTCCGATCAGATTGACCGAGATGATGTGGAGGCAGCCTTGAAGACGATCTGTGGCCATTACATAGGCGAGCAATGCCTTCAGGCTTGGATCAACACGCTCGCTGTCGATCATAATGAGATGGATGCATCGTGTCCGATGTGCAGGACTAAATTTTGTATCGGAGCTTTTCCACCCAAGATTCGAGATCAGGTCTTCGAGTTTGTAGAGTTTCTTCGTAATGATCCGGCGTTCGATCGAGAGGTCGATCGGTTTCTGCTGAGCGCGACGGAGGGAGATGTGAGGCGGTGCTACGGCTCTGAGCTTGGAGTCATGCTTGCAAAGCTGTCTGTGAAGACAACGGAGGGGGAGATGATGCTGAATAGCATTCTCGACAGTATCGACAAGTTACGAGGGTGAATGTACCAGGTGGGAGACGTTATCGTAGGCTGATAGGACTATATGAACTGATTCGATCGTGAGGACTCGATCGTCTGGAATGGTGCGATGCTCGCAAGATAGGTGGGTTTATTGAGTGGTAGTATCTCTAATCGTGAGTGTTTCGATGCGAAGAGAAGAGAATCGTCAGTGTAGAGGATGACGAGATCGTACCTGCCGTGGGAACAGGCTGCCCTCGGAATTCCTGACAGAGTGGTCTGCTGTCATGCATCGAGTTGTGGGTCAGCAAGGAGAAACAGGGCGTGCCACCTACTCAATTTTCGGACGCCACCATATGACTATATTGATCTACTTCCAGAAGTTGTGCGGCCGATCCTGTACGACAACGCAGCCTTGGCATGTAGCGGTATCGCAACTGACAAGGAGGCTGTCACCTGTCTACCAGGCATCCTTGCGAGAGGAGGAAATTCACGGCGGCTTGGACGTCCCGTTCCCGCTGACATGTGGTGTGTGCGAGTGTGTGAAGCTAAGCTTCCGCCTCACCACCAATCTCGTTCAGAACATGCGGAAGTCGAGACCGTGGCCCGAACGCTACGCTGACCAATATCGGCAGCCGACGGACCATTTTTATCGTGAAGTCGGATTCGCATAGCGGGTAGTGGACCCCTACACCGCCCGGGTGGCAGCCGCGGAGCGAATAGGAGAATTCCAATATCGGCGGTTTCTTTTGGTGCATATTCGCCAAGGTGCCAGAGATTCAAAACGTGAAACGCATGATCACCCCAGATCTTGGCGACAGCGGTTTCCGCTGTGGTTGTGTTGGTAGTGTCGAGGCTTGGCACGGCGCTTCCACCGCTTAAATGAGTTTCAACGAGTGGTTGGGACTCCTGTTTTCATTTAAAGTGAGACTAGAACAAAAGAATCGTTCTATGCGACTGGGTACTATGGGCTTATGATGGCTTATGACGCCTTGGGGGTGGGGTGGCGCTGTGTAGATTAGATGAAGAGAATGGGTGTTGATGAAATTTAGGGACCGAAAAATGGATATCCCTCCAATGGAGCGGAACGGTGCGGTGAACCACGCTGACAGACTGGTTTGTATAAGTATCGCAGTGGTTACCGTGTTGTAAAAATCATCGCAATCACTAGCATTCGATACCAACCAGTACATTCGCTTCCAACTCTTTACATTCACTTCTTTTGAACATATTCATTCTTTACCATCAACATGAAGGCCTCAATCATCCTCTCTCTTCTTGCGCCCTTGACGGTCGATGCGCACTACATCTTCAACCGCCTTATGGTCAACAACCAGGCTATCGGTGGTGACTATGCCTACACCCGCAAGAACACCAACTCGTACATGCCCTCGTTCACCAGCGAGATTGTGAACTCTCCCGATCTCCGCTGCAACAAGGGAGCCAAGGCTGGCGGTGTTCCCACCTACACCGTCAAGGCCGGTGACAAGATTGGCTTCAAGCTCGCTTTCAACGAGAAGATCGAGCACCCCGGCCCGGGCTTCGTCTACATCTCCAAGGCCCCTGGCAGCGTCGCCAACTACGATGGCAGCGGTGACTGGACCAAGGTCATGGAGAGCGGCCTCATCAACCCCAGCCAGCCCGGTGTCGACACTGCCTGGGACAGCTGGCAAAAGGACCGCCTTGAGTGGACCATCCAGAAGAGCATTCCTGCTGGCGAGTACCTTGTCCGCGTTGAGCACATCGCCATCCACGAGGGCCACGTTGGCAAGGCTCAGTTCTACATGGAGTGCTTCCAGCTGAAGATTGAGTCTTCCGGTACCGGCCAGCTCTCCCCAACTGTCAAGATCCCCGGTCTCTACAAGGCCAACGACGGCGGTATTGCCTTCAACAAGTGGTAAGTCTATCCCAATCGTACCAAATACTCGTGCCAGACATACTAATATCATCCCAGGAACAACCCTAAGTCTTACCCCATGCCTGGCCCCAAGCTGTACGCCGGACAGTAAGCGACTCGTTTCGCTCACTGGTGTTCCATCAGGCAGTCAAGTTGAGGAGGAATCGGTCTTTTTTTACACATTGCACGCCCTAGTGGTGCTTACTTTCTACCTTTGCCCGCATTCATAGCGCTCGATCTCAGTAGCTTTTGACAAAATTACAATGCGTTTACCTCAATTCGATGTTCCTTGATTTCTGTGATGATGGCGATGGAGCGTGAGGCTTGGCAGTTGGTCGACAGATTGTGGATCGTGATCAGCCAGCCTTGTGTACTCAGCTGGTGACCCGAGCGCAGGCAAGGCGACAAGTCGCGCGCGCCTACTGCCGTTAGACCGCTGTTAGTAGGAGGGCTAGAGGTCTGTTCACATTAGCGTACAACAACAAGACAGCTGTAGAGTATGCCCGATGGTGGGAACATCTGTTCGAGGGCGCCGGCGCAGTAGTTCTATAGCGGCCCAATGCATAATGGAGATGCAGCATCGCCAATTATGCGCAACTGGATGCGCAGCAAAGGCAGTTATGCAGGGCGAGTAGCCAAGATGAAGCGAATATCGCGGTGTAGAGTTGAAGATTGTGTGACGTGGTAGGCGAAGTGGGCCGCAGCCTGGCCAGTGCGGGTCGCGGTTGCCCGGGGAGCGGTCGCTGAATCGTGTTTACCCAACCAAGACGGGACGTCAGGTTGCGATAGGCCCTGCTTAGCTCTGCCATACCACATCCCCGCTATCAATTGGGGCGTGACCACAGAGAACTGCTCTCTACCATTGCTACCATCGACATCTGTCCTTCGCTGGAGCATTTTACGCGTTCCACACCTAATCGACGCCGCCTCTCACTATTCTAATCGCCGCATGTCATCCACCCGCCGTGCATGCCCCGAACAAGTTGCCGGTCAACACCAAGTACTGTGTAATACAACATCCAAATAATACCCAACATGGCAGTTGGCCAGGCGCTTCCAGTGCGCTTTCCCTGCTGGTGCAAAGCTGTCTACTCATGGGGAGGCGAGGTAAGTTCAGACGGAAGCTGAGTTACTGCTACATGTTAACTTACACCGTACTAGACCAAACGCGACCTCGGATTCATAGAAGGCGATTTGATCGAAGTCCTCAATGCCGGCGATGGAGCTTGGTGGATGGGCCGGTTGAAGCGCGACAGGCGCATGGTCGGCCTGTTCCCATCGAACTTCGTCGAACTACTCAGCGAAGACTACCAGCCATGGGCGCGCAACGGCAGCGGTGGAAGCATGTCGAGGCAGAACAGTGCCCAGGAACAGCCCAAGCCCGCGCCACAGAAGCAGAAGAGCATGTTCAGGAAGCCCTTCACGGCCTATGCGGCTGCAGGCGCCCCGAATCCAGCTGCAGCGGCGCGAGAGAGGCTCAAGGCCGGCGGCATCAACTCACCGAACGGCAGTGTCAAGACCAAGTCTCCCTACTCGTCGATGAAGAGGTCGTCTATCGAGAGCCGAGACAGCCCGTCGCCGGCCACGTCGACAAGGAAACAGTCGAACCTGCGCGCAGTGTCACCGCGACCAGCCTCCAAGAGGACGCCCGTAGCACGAGCTGTATCGCCAGCACCACCCTCACGACACGGCTCGCACGCACACGCACCCTCTCCCGCACCGCCCGCCGAATACCACTACCAACCGCGCGCCGTCTCACCAGCACCTCCCATCCGACGCGGCTCGTATATCCCGCCACAGGCTGCCGCACCTCCAGCCCAATACCAATACCAGCCTCGTGGAGTGTCACCTGCACCGCCCATACAACACCGCAACTACGCCAGAGCCGCATCTCCAGCTCCCCCACAACAGATACAAGACCTATACCGAACAGCTTCGCCAGCACCCCCGAGACAAAATCAAGACTATTACCGGGCAGCGTCGCCAATTCCTCCACGACAAAGCCAGGATCTATACCGGGCAGCCTCACCAGCACCCCCAGTTCACTACCAGCAGCACTCGAGAGCGGTGTCTCCTGCGCCCTCGTTCCAGTACCGAGCATACGACCGTGGACCTTCGCCAGCCCCATCGTTTGGTGAACGTTCGCGTGCTGCTTCACCAGCCCCTTCGATCCAATACCGCGCATACGACCGAGGTCCATCGCCATCTCCCTACCAACACCAACTCGATTACGACGATCACAGCCGCGGTCCATCGCCCGCGCCTTACGATGACGAATTCGAAGCAGACGTTGGCTCGCCGCCACCTCCACCACCGCACCGCGTTGCTTACGACCCCAGCAGAGCTCCATCTCCCGCGCCTCCTTCCCACAACGGTTTCATCACACCCGAACCGCCCTCGCCTGACCCAAGAACACGTGCAGGCCACTTCACACCTTCCCCGCTTACGGCAGCGATGGACGATGTCATGACGTCTCTGCAGGATATGACAACGTCGAACAGTAACGAATCGCCAGAAGACTCTCCAACTCCAGCGAACCCGTGGTCTCCAGAGGCATTCGATCAAGTGTACCAGGAGTCAGCGAAGAAGGTCAGGGCACAATCCGCGATGGACCAGGGTGATGAGGATGAAGAGGAAGGCCTTCCAGACGTCAACAACTACATGAAGCGCATGGAGAGTCGTCTGAGGCGAATGAAGCAGCAGGAACAAGCCAGGAACGGTGAACTTTTCATGGGCGACGATGAAGGACCAACTGTACCTTTGAAAGGCTCCCATCAGAGGCCTGGGTCCTCGAGGGCAGACACTGACCCAGAAATTCAACGGAAGGGCTCGAAACTGCTTAACCACCGCAAATCTGCTTACAACATGGGACGTAATGCCCTGGGACGAACATTTACGAGCAAAACGAACTCTACGACTACGACGCATACCAGCAGCAGCACCGATCGCAGCTTGATGTCTGGACACTCTGCGACGAACATGAGTGCTACGAGCGCAGGAAGCTACTACCGCAAGAAGTTCGGCAAGGACCGACCGAAGAGCGTAATGAACACAAAGGACACAGCCGGGAAGGGATACGGCTTCGACGATGGACGACCAGAGACGCCCTTTACTGGTGTCACATACCACTCCAGCCACGCTTCGCAACCACGACCTGGGTCCAGCGATAACCAGCAAGCTGAGGTTGGCACCCCAGCAACGGACGATCCGGATCCGCTTGGTGGACTGAGGCAGCCTTTGAAGACGAAGCGCAGCGGCTTCTTCCGCAAGATGATAGACACAGCGAAGACTCAGGCGGCAAATGCTCGTAGCACCATCGACACGATAAGCAGGCCAGGATCGCGAGCTGCTAGCAGAGCAGCAGGTCGTGCAACCAGTCGCGCAGCAAGCCGCATGGACAGCAATGAGTCAACAGGTATCGAAGGAGGTAAAGCGACCCATACGGCAAACCCCTCGAGAGATACGGGCCTGGGCACGGTGGATTGGGTACAAGTCCGCCGTGATGTCAACCGATCCAACTCTCTCAGCAAGAACGAGCGTGCGGAGCGAGCCGAAAGATGCCAAATGATGGATATTCCCGTCTTGAACCCGATTGAGATCTTGTACGAGTCAGCGGAAGGGGACGAGGGTCTCGACGGCCTTCCCATCACCGAGCCTACCGATTTTGCAGCCTGCAGTCTCGGCCACGTTGACAAAAGCACGCGGTTCATCAACAGCGTTCCTCTTGGAACTAACCCAGCGACCTTGGCTCAGGCATACGTCTGCCGACCCTACCGGAGCGATATGCAACGATTACGGGCCATCTTTACCTGGGTCAGCGAGCGTATCGCGTGGGAGGACGACTTCGAAGGCGAGATGGACCCGAAGCATGTGATTCAGGGCAAGCGTGGATGCTCTCAAGAGATCGCCATGGTTGTGGCAGAGATGTGCGCTTCTGTTGGAATGCATGCTGAAGTTGTTCGTGGCTATCTGAAGACGCCTGGCGAACCTCTGGATCTGGAAAGCGTTGCCCGACCGAACCACTTCTGGAACGCTGTCATCGTTGAAGGCGAGTGGCGTATAATGGACTGTTCGCTTGCTGGGCCTACAAACCCAAAGCGAGTTCACTACTCAACGGCGGGATCATCCGTGGCGGAGACGTGGTATTTCCTCGCTCGTCCCATGGAGATTTGCTATTCTCATGTTCCGCTCTTGCCCGAACAGCAACACATTTGCCCTCCACAACCTCATGAGGTGCTGATGGCTCTGCCTTGCGCAACGCCAGCTTATTTCCGCCACGGTCTCAATATGGTCAACTTTGACACTAGCCTTCTCAACTTGGACAACCTCGAGATGGGCCACGTGTATATCGACGTGCCGGAAGACGTAGAATGCGTTGCGGAAGTCGAGGCGAGATCTTACTCTCAAGACATGGACGGCGACTTTTTCGAAAGCGGTGAAATTGTCAAAAAGCCGGCATTGGCGCAAGCTGAATGGTACGGCGGCCAGAAGAGATACACCGTCAAGGCTCTTCTACCGGGTGATGGAGGTCAGGGTGTCCTGAAAATCTATGCAGGACCTCGGGGACTTATGGTAAGTTGATTCTATGGCACTGTCAATACATGCATACTAACGTTTCCCAGCACTCCAACAAGATGAACCCTCATAACCTGGCGATCGGCCTTCCAATGACGCATACCGGCACCAATCCTCCGTACTCATTCCTGACACTGCACCCTACGCCCCATGCTCAACGAAACGATCTATACGTCGCTCAACCACAGTGCGCCAATCTGGCTTTAAACAACACTTTCGTCTTTTGCGTGCGCCAGCATCCATCATCCCTAACGAAGTCGCCCGAACCAAGTCCTGCGATGCACGGCCGAGCGTCGCCAAATCCCTTTGCCCGTCCTGCTTCTGCTATGAGCATGCAGAGCATCTCAGCTACTGGTTCCAACTACACAAACCCATCGCAAAGCTCTTCCGGATCAGCAGACAGTAGGAGCAACAAGCCCGCCAAGCTAGCCGTGCAAACACCTTCTGGCAAGATTATCCGCCTGACGAGAAAGACGGAGCACATGAGCAGTACCAATGATGCCGACGGTACGGCTTGGGAGACGATCATCAAGATTGGAGAGAAGGGCACATGGCGAGGCTTGGTACTTGCCGACCGAAGCGCGAGGTGGTGTGTTTTTGCTCAGTGGGAGTGTGCTTGATTTTGTAGCGACTTTTCTCTTCGAAGTACGTATTATGACTTGTAATGATAGCGTTTGGTTATAGTATGACCGCGACGGCCGTGACGGCGCTTTTGCATTACTCGGCGTTTCTGTAGAATATGGGGTGTGAGAATACTATTATGGCGTATTTGGTAACCTGATCGTGTTTGAGCTGTTCAACTGTGATGTGTGATGAATGTGACAGAGAAGAGGAGTCATCTCCATGACCAGCTCGTACCAAGATCATGTTATATTCTGAGTCAAGGATCCATTCTACTCTTTAGTGAGTCATTCTGATATATAATACTCGCTACTAAATTGTCGATGCACAGAAAACACAGCCCTGTACTTCGTAGTGACTCGTACCTACCAAGCTCGGCGATAAGAAGCTGCCCCGCGTCATCAGTCAACCCCACCACAGCTTTTTCCCAACCCCAAGGACTGTCTGACGACAAACCCATACGCGCACCATACCCACCGCCAACATGGACGCGCAAATCGCCGAATGGCAACAACGCTCCGAGGCGCTCAAGCCCCTCAACCTCAAGCAAATCGAGCCCCACCTCCTCGAACTCGACGCCCACCTCACCCTGCGCTCCCACATTGTCGGCTACACCCTCTCCGACGCCGACACGACAGTATGGAAGACGATCCGCGAGAACCGCGTTGCGCACGCCTTCATCAAGCAGGATCTTATGAAGAACCTGTGTCGCTGGTTTAGGTATATCGAGGAGGCGTATCCACAGAGTGTGGTTGTTGTTAGTGGGGGGCAGGGTAAGAAGGAGGATGGGAAGGCGAAGGGGAAGAAGGAGGGGGGTAAGAATGATGATGCGAATTATGATATTGGGTTGCAGGATGTGGGTGATGGGACGGGGATTGTTACTAGGTTTCCGCCTGAGCCTTCGTAAGTTACTCTCTCAACCATGCGAACCACTTCTAACTGTATCACAGAGGTTACCTCCACATCGGTCACGCAAAGGCAGCGCTGCTCAACGACTATTTCGCGCACGAGAAGTACAAGGGCAAGCTCATCCTACGTTTCGATGACACAAACCCCACAAAGGAGAAGCAAGAGTTCCAAGATGCTATCGTGGAGGACTGCGCGCTTCTTGGCATCAAGCCCGACCAGGTCTCTTACACCAGTGATTGGTTCGACCAGCTGTACGAGAGCTGTGTGCAGGCGATCAAGGATGGACTGGCGTACGCAGACGATACAGTACAGGAGAAGATGCGCGACGAGCGTATGAACGGTATTGCTAGCGCTCGCCGTGATGCCAGTGTTGAGGATAACCTTGCGCACTTCGAGGAGATGAAGAAGGGCAACGAGGAGGGCCTGAAGTGGTGCATCCGCGCAAAGATGTCCGTCGATGACCCGAACAAGGCCATGCGCGACCCTGTCATCTACCGCTGCAATCCCCAGGCGCATCACCGCACCGGCGAGAAGTGGAAGATCTACCCTACCTACGACTTCTGCTGCCCCATCGTCGACTCGCTTGAGGGTGTCACCCACGCGCTACGCACGACCGAGTACAACGACCGCGACGCACAGTACCAATGGTTCATCAAGAATCTCAAACTGCGCAAGGTGCACAACTGGGGTTTCGCGCGTCTGAACTTTGTCCGCACGGTGCTGTCCAAGCGCAAGCTCACCAAGATCGTTGATGATGGTATCGTTGCGGGCTGGGACGACCCGCGCATGCCAACTGTTCGCGGTGTCCGCCGCCATGGTGCTGTCATCCCGGCTCTCCGCGAGTTTATCCTCAAGCAAGGTCCTTCCAAGAACATCGTCAACCAGGACTGGTTCGCATTCTGGGCAACAAACAAGAAGCACATTGAGCCTACTGCTGCCCGTTTCACTGCGATTGACGATGCTGGTCGCGTTCCTGTTACCATCATCGGCGCGCGCGAGGGCGTGATCTCCGAGGACAAGCCGAAACACGCCAAGTACGACCTCGGTAACAAGAAGATTGTCTTCAGCTCCTCCGTCATCATGGAGCAAGCCGACGCGCAGTCTTTTGCTCAAGATGAGGAGATCACATTGATGAACTGGGGTAACGCCATTGTGCGCAAGATCAGCCATTCCATCAACCCTCTCGAGATGGCCAAGCACGGCCTCAAGACCGTCACCGGCCTAGAACTCGAGTTGCACCTCCAGGGAGATGTCAAAAAGACGTCCAAAAAGGTGACTTGGTTGAGCAAAGACCAAGACCTCGTACCTATTGAGCTTGTCGATTACGACCACCTCATTACAAAGGATAAGCTGGAGCCTGAGGATGACCTCATGCAATTCATCAACAAGGAGAACGAGACGAGGACCAAGGCTATGGCTGACTGCAATGTTGCTGAGCTCAAGGTCGACGATATCGTACAGTTTGACCGCAAGGGCTTCTTCCGCATTGACCGCGCTTTTGCGCATGGCGAGGCGGTCATTGCGTTGCAGATTCCTACTGGTAAGAGCAAATAGATCTTGCTCTTGGACTTTGCGCATTAGGTATGCTGTGATAGCACAGAACTGGTACCAGTGCAGTGCACTCTATTTCATCCAGAATCAAGAAGGACTATAGTCAAGGCTCTCATGTGCCACTTCCACTTCTCGATCCTTTCATTTGTTAAACGTTCTTTTGGGCTGCCTCATATGCACAATCAAATAAGTGAGCTGAGTCCTTCCTGATATGTTCGTTCTAGTCGTGAGCCGCTAGTACCTCTTTCAATGGCCAAATGAAGGCCACAGCTTCCAGGTTGCCATGCATTCCAGACTAAAGCATTGCTCCTTCCCTCGTCAGAAATTTCGCCGTCACTTTCCTCGTTCACCGTTCATCGTAGCTCCTGCCGACTCAGTAAAATATCTTCACCTTGCTCTTCCGAACTTTCTTCTCCTCTTCTTCTACTCCTCCATCGCCGTTGCCTTGAATTTCACGGCGCATCTTCCATTCAGCATTTACCCTCACGCAGCAACACCAGAGGAGTCAGCATGAGGTTCTTCGTTCCTGCTGTCTTCCTGGCAGCATGCAGCATGCTCACTGCTACCGCCGCACCAGCAACCGGCACGGGAGAAAGTAAGCACTGCCACCCAACACAACGAAAGCTAGCTAACAACCACAGCCACCAGCGTAGCACTCGGCTCCGAAACCATCACCCTCAACCTAGGCCACAACGGCCTCAACGTCGGCGACAGCACAACCCTCTACCACGACGTCAACGCCGCCCTCGAAGAGCTCTGTTCCGAAAACTACTGCCTGGACAGACCCGCTACCTTCCCCATCTCCGTCGTCGAATCCACCTCCCGCGGCCCATACTACAGGCGCCGCGTCAAGAGCACCATCAGCCTCACCGTCCTGATGGCCGACTGGGGCGGCCGCGCCGATGTCCGCAAGGTCTTGAGCAACACTATCGCCGCGGCATTCGAGCGCGGTACGTACGACCCGAAGAACTGTTATATGAATAGGGTTAAGGGCGATAAGATTGAGCATTTTAGGGACTGTATGACGACGGATTATGCGGAGGTCATACTGTCGAATGGGTATAATATGAATGTCTTGTTTGAGGGGCCGCGTAGTACGGCGAAGGGGCTGAACTTTGACTGTAAGAGGGAGGTTGATGATATGGATTCGTTCCTGAAGAAGGACTTGCCGTGGAAGCCGAAGAATGCGCACGTCGTTTGTCTGCCGAAGTAGATGCGAGGGAGGCATATGATGGGATAGAGAGGGATATGTAGGAGAAAGACAAGGATGGATCACATTAGAGATGACGAGATGATGAACTATAGGTGATGTCCTTGGATATCCAACGGGCAAGGATGATATTGCCTAGGACTTTGTGGATTCTCATAGGATCTCGAGGACACACTGTAGTATGAAGGTAGTAATGAAACTTCACATTCAACGGCAGAGAAGTCCTTCGTGGGTATCATATTTATTCATGTACCGTATCTAGATCTTTTCCAGGCTCATGACTCTTGTCACGGCCACCGCCCACCCACCCGACGACATCATGTCGTCATACATCAATCGTTATGAACAAGCCACCAAACTACCATAATTGTGTCTGGCATGGCAGTGTCAAGCCCAACAAGCTCCTGTGTAGTCACAGCTTTCTCAGCCGCATGTCAAGTCCGCACCTACTTGGAGTTCGACCCACCGCCCTCCTTCCTTCCCTGCGTCCCCTCCTTAGTAACCTCATCCGGCTCCCCCTCCTGCAACTTCTTCTGCCTCTCCTCCTCCCTCTTCCTCTCATGCTCCCTAACCATATCCGGCGGGCTATCCTCAATAAGATCCGAATCCCCACTCAGCCCACTCCACTTCGGCAGCCCATCCGGGATATCCATAACGCGCTGGCCGTAGAACATGTGGCAGCGGGGCTTGAAGTACGCCTTGTCTTCGTCGGTCTTGAGGTGCACGAGCGAGGGGAAGAGCAGGATCATGTTGCGGCCCTCGTCCATGATGGGCGAGTGGCAGTAGGAGCAGCGCACTTTGCAGGGCAGCTTGTGCTCGATGGATTTGTCGGTTGGGTCGTACCATTCTAGGTCGTGGTGGCCGTTGGTGAAGTTGATGTCGTCTTTGTGGAAGATGGCGGCCCATTGGAAGGGTGCGGCTGGGTCGGCGTTAGTACGATCGTTCCAACGTGATCACGGAGAAGAGGCATACCGTGTTGTGTCTGGCAGGTAGTGCAATGGCACAGCTTGCTGTCTAGAGGCTCCCTTCGGCTGAGCTGGTACTGAACCTTTCCGCAATGGCAGTTGGCCTCGTACTTGACGTCAAAGTCCTCGTTCTTCTCGTGGACGCGGTAAGGGGGACGCTGCTTCCACTCAGACTTGCCGGTCGTCTCCTGACCGCGGCTCTGGTCCTTCTTAACCTGATCCTTGTCCATTCTGAAGGCGGATTGAGAGAAAGCAGGATACTGTCGCGTGAGGTGTGAAGCAACTAGTCGGGCACGAGGTACAGCTCTTGAAGTCGTTAGAAGTGGTAGCCGACGGAATGCAATTGAAGCTGCGGACATGAATAGAGAATTGGAGGGGATGTGGTGGTGTTACGTGGGTGGTTTTGATGTTTGCTTGCCGTCATCATCGATGCTTTATTTGGGGAGGCGCGTTGATCTGACGTCACCATGACCACAATTCCGCTACGCGACAACGCGTGCTCTAGATTCCTTATCCCCATTGTGGGCATCGATCGTCAAAAAGAATACGCCCACGCGCCTTTCCGTCAGCGAAAACGCTCAGATATGGAGCCCAGATTTCGCCTTCCAATGCTATGCTTTTTCTACACAATCCCATTCGTCAATCCCTCCCCTAGTGTCCCACTCTCCCGCACTTCATCGCGATCGATCTTGCATCGCGGTTTGCTACGAGCCGTAGCCCATGACCCTGACATCGTCGGTAGCCGTGCACATGGCGGTAGCCATCGTGTTTCGCGATGTCTGATCTACTAATGATGGGTTTTCAGCTACCGCATCCCCAAAAGCCGATTGTGGCTGGCATTTGCGCTAACGCACGGAGTGGTTCCGTGCCTAGCGTTCCACATAGTTTCATCGCAAGTAGCTCAAGCTCCTTTCAGTAGCTTCTGAGCTTCTTTGCTGGACAGACCGAAGACATTAATTAGGTAGTCGAGTCTGCCAACGTTGTCAGTACAGTCCCTCTAGTCGATTAATCATCTTCACTCACTTGATGTCTCCTGCTATCCGCCTGCGCACAGCCTCGAACTCAACTTCAGCTTTGTCTCTTGTCGCATCCTGCCTCTTCGAATTGATCGTCTTGACACGCAGCTTGAATCTTCCGCTGACAGGACGGTGATCCGAGACTTTGATGGTGTCGTGTCGCCTGTACTCCAACTGCTTGATCCTACCCAAGCCGCGGTACAACAGCCGATCACACCATGCAGGTGATCGCTGCTTCTCAGAGGTATCGTAGTTATCGGTCCCCACGTCATACTTGTAAGTCGGAGCAAAGTTGATCGGCATCTCAGTGAACGCCCGCAAGCGGAAACCCGGATTGCGCTTGCGGGATAGAAGCAGCTGATCACGTTCGAGAAGCTTCGCCAAGTTGCCTTGCTGCACAGCAGCGACAACAGTGTTGCGAGGCATCGCGTCGATGCGGTAATTCAGATCGCCGTTCAAGATACAGATCTCGTGATCCAGAATCATGGAACCATCACCACCTCCAACAAAGTAGTTTGCGCACGAAGTTGGGGAGCGGTTCTTTGGTAATGGTGCGTTCTCCATGATTGCGGCTGCGTCGTTGTTGCGATGTACTGTTTGGGTCTGACCAGCCGCAAGATGGCAGTTGATAAAGCACAGCGATGAATCGTCGATGAAGAAGCGCACAACGAGTGCACCCTTGTTGCCAACACGACCACTGAAGCCAAGCTTGATTTCAGCTGCGCATACGTCGCGGATGTTGGCCCGTTCCGAAGCCTTTACAAACACACATGTGAACAGACCGACGAGGTTGGCCGTGTGCAGAAGTACGTAGTTCTGTTTTGGACTGTACTCGTCCAGGACGCGAACAAGATGGTCTCGCCATGCTCGATATTGATGTGACATGTGCTCGCTCTCTGATGTTTCTTTGTGCTTCTTTCTTTTGAAGATACTCTTGGCCGTGATCTTCTTGTCTTCCAGATCGACCAGTTCCTGGAAGCCGAACACAAGGATATCAGGCGGATTCTCGGGTTCGAGTACTTCCCGGAAGAAGTTGCGATCTTGCTCTGTATTACGTAGATTTGCGGGTTTGACTGCGCCGGCGTTCCATGTCATGACTCGCGCCGAGAGCTCTCTGAATTCGCAGTACTCTCCATCGCGTTGTTGCATTAGATTCTCTGCAACATGTCAGCATGGCACCACATAACACACACAGTACGACTTACCGAGCCAATCGTCCTTCATCATGCCATCCCAGACGCGCAGCATTGTGTCTGTGCCAAGGGACGCAACCTGGAACCTATCGAGTTTCCAGATGCTCGTACGATCCGCCAAGATGCCCGCTATTGGCTTGTCGTGTGCCTTCCAATCCTTCAACACCTTCCAGGGTGTCGACTTGGTGTCGTACACGTATATCATTCCAGTACTGTATCCAGCCCAAAGGACGTCACCAACACCGACCAAGGAACTGATCTTGTACACACTGACATTCACGATTCCAAGACATTCGAAGCTCTTCTTGGAGTATATTGTAACTTTCCCGTCTGCGTGTCCGAAGTACATGCGGTCGGGCTGACTGCTGATGATAGCACCGGAGGTTACGTCTCCGACATTGAGCTGAGATAACGAACCCTGGGTTAATTGCTGGAAATGATTGTTATCGGACGTGCGGGCGTAGACGCGGATGTCTTTCGTCGTGGCTACCCATAATTGCGAGCCTGAGATGATGGAAAAGGTGCTTCCACGGGGGATACGGTAGGTAAGTGGGGTCTGCTGTAGGGACGGGCATCCAAACTCGTCAGCTGGCCAGATGTGTAGTACGCCATCCTCGTCAAGAGACCACATTTCTGCAGCATAGCGGAAGATCTTAATGATGACACTCCTAGCGTGTGCGTTACTCTTAGTGTGCACTACACTTTGCGTGGGGATGTCAATCTCATGCATTTCGCCTGTGTTCGTTCCTAGCCATAACCGCTTGCCTTCGTCTTCCACATCTTTCGCTGGTCTGAATGCAATCGCTGTGGCTTTGACTGTATCGCCATGAGCTAAGCTCATGAGCAGTCGCCCGTTGAGAACGTTCCATACGTTCGTCACGTATCCGGTTGTACATATGTAATCGCCACAAATTGCAAAGAGCTTGGTCTCGTAGCCGGTAGGGATGCCGGCTATGCCGTCTGGGAACACTGGTGGTCTCCGATTCGCTTGTGAGGAGTCTGGGTAGTCTGTTAAAGCAGTCGTCGGTTGCTTGTCTGCGCCCGTGTCTTCTTCATCCGAGTCATAAGTATACGGCTGTGATAGCTGCGATGCCTGCGCAGTAATCGGCTGTGACGGTCTTCTCATTTCCCCCGAGTTCCGTGGAGGCGGTGGTTTCGGAGGTTCTAACGCTTTTCCGGGACTAGCGGATATGGTACCAGTTGTGTTGGTCCGCCGAGGAGGCGGCATGAACTTGTTGTTCGCTTCTTGCACCATTTGCCCAGGACGGGTTTGATCGAAAGATCGTCGGACTGGCAAATCAGGAGGAGGCGCTCTTTGCAATTGTACACTCTTCCGCAGATCGAAATTGTCCTTCTCTCGTCGCGTAGGTAACGATGGGCGGTCTTCCGGCATGTCAGTCGGTGATGGTGGCGGCATCGTCTTCTTCAAGGCCTGCTTTCCTACTGGCCGAGGGTCCGCGAATGGGTGGTTTTCGGCGACTGCGTGAGATGCGGGAGCAGCTGGGAAGTAACCATTGTTGCCCCCAGTCATCTTTGGTTTCGAGAAGCCCGGGATGACTGGTGGAGAAGATTCGCCCTTGACGCTCTCCCCACTACTGCTAGGTGGTGTACTGAAGGGAGAAATGTCTGCAGCGTCTGATGTGGCTTCGGGCGCCAGGTTTGTACGAGCCGGTAAATCCACAGAAATCGACTTTGGTGGGATCTTGGGTTTACCGGCTCGATTCACAGGCGGTGGTACGGGAGGCGCAGAGGATACCGGTCGATCACCCTTTCGCGGGTCGTTGGCGGGGCCGTTCCCCGTGTGGGTTGGGAATATAGGTTTCGCGTCC